GAAGATGGGCTAATGAACCTGTTTCAAAATAGTGTTCCGCGGCAGCTGAGACTCTATTGCGAACCAACTATTGGTTTAAAAGTGTTAAATGCTCTATCGTAATGCAGCCATCAAAACCTTAAACTAAGGGGCTCCAGAGCTCGAATAATACAGGTGTCACTTCTCCGAATTTATATTTGGAAAGAAGGTATTTTGCTTCAGGGTAGTACACATCCCAAAAATAAATTCATACGCCAGCAATAACGCTACACGTTTTGTCCTCTGTCTCCAGTGAAGCGTATTTCCTGCCGAATGTCAGCTGATTGGCTCCTACTTCACTGCCGGTCATCTTTGCTCGTTACAGCTGAGGATATGTCGGAGTAATTTAAGGGATTGCCTGATTGGGCACAACCAACGAAAAGCCCAAGCCTTCGTATGACATCATTACAATTGGTCTTGCTGGAAGCCGGCATGGAGATTCCCGACTGAGCGATAAACTAACGCGGTTTCTGACACTCGATGCCAATGACATGGATGACGCGCGCTTGCATCATGCACGTCACGTTAATCATTTGTCCATTCATTGGGCGAGGAAATTGCGACGCAGAGAGAACAAAAATAACTGCGTTTGCTCGCTCGTAGATATGCTCTTCTATATATAGAAATGCATTTACTTAGGCTGAGTGGAACGCAATAGCTTTTTGTACGGCTATAAACTAATGTGGCTTCCAATAAGTACAAATTCTCTTTTTTTTAGTGGTCAAGTTCCGGTGACGACACCGATTCGGAGGCTTCGACGAGCCAGGCACCATCGACGATTCTGGCGCAAAGTCAGGCGAAGTACGACTTCCTGATGTTGCTCCATCGTGTCGTTAGCGAAAGCACCGTATGCTTGATGAGCCATGAAAGGCGTCAAACCCTGGTGATGATCGACAGACTCGCGTTCCAGGTGAGCTTTGTGAGATCAGTATTTTGGAGAGATTCGATGCTTTTTGGGTAACGAATAGGAATGAATATTTGCTAGAGGAGATAATTTTGACCAGTATCTAATGATAATTGTTAGCATTAAAGCAGATTTTTAAAAGCATCATTTGCTATTCCAGGTGTCACTCAGTATCTACAATCCGCAGAGCACAGTTGCCGGTCATACGCCACGAACGACACTCTTCTACCTCCCACGCAACACCACTCAATGGATTCCAGTGGTCTAACCAACCATCCTCCCTCTCCCATCCTCATGGATATTCAAAATCCAAAACGAAAATAAGCGCTTATCGGGTCAGGTTGCGCGCGTTCGAATAGCGAACGTTTTGCGCGCAAACAAAAACACTCAAAGCATAGCGTGTCGTCAATTATCGATTGACTGGGCGAAATCGGGCGAGCGGGCGAACGAGTATACATCGCCTCGAATCGCTGTCGTTGATACCGCGCCTCACTCCTCCTGCAAAATCCCGGATAGCATACGCGGTCGTTCAGCGTTTGATTTGTTTTGTTCGAATTTGTACTGTGCCTCTCCAGTTTTCTCATCCCTCCCTTCATAGTGCTAATTCGAGTACAGTCCGACATGTCACTTGTTTGAATACAATGATGTACTCCATATTATTATTATGTATACATATATACACACCTACATTCTACTGCTGGGTTCCTTGCAACTTCCTTTTTTTGAGTTCTCCCCTCTTCCCTTATAGCGGCGGTGTCGTCGCAGCCAACGAATATGTCAGGTGATATAGTATCCCTCCACCTGCGGCTCTTCTCCTAAGTTACTACCATTTTCAGCGCGGTAAACATTTTTAGCGTGGTAGAGTTCTAAGCGGTGAATAATTTCTCCTAGTTTTTGTAGTGTTTGTAGTTTTTCCGCGCCTCGAGCTGTGCCGCTCCACTCGATGTACAAATACCTGTAAAGTTCCGACATATTTATTTGGCCTAGTGGTAGCATTTTTGATGATCCGGTCTAAATATTTCGGGCAGTGTTTAAATCTCTCCTACTCCGTATGTATGATTGTTATGTTCTGGATTTCGTGCCGGTATTTCGCTGCGTACCGCACTTAGGATCAAATGTAAAACGCGGCCGAATGCCTGTATCGTACTACTCCAACTGCATATGTATCTGTCTATATTTTGATTCTTTTCGGTGGGTCGCTGACGTGTACGTTTGAATCGCGCGGGTTCGCGCGTCCAACGGCGGCACGCGCGCACACGTGCGGGCGGGAATTCGAACCGTCAGCAGTATACAGTATTACGTATACTGTAAACATTTCATTTTCCCTGTCTTCTTCGCGGGACGTAGCTTCTCTGTATTGTTTCCTGTTGAGAAAAAAATAACGAAAATCAAATAAACGATTCAAAATTACTTTTTGTGTTTGATGTCATACAGATCTCCTAATCATGCGTTAATTTTCTTCGAGGTGAAGAATGTGCATGTTCTGTTATGCAATTTTGTTTACCAGTTTTTTCTTTGGAAATCAGAATTTATACTGCGAAAATTCATCTATAGTTAGAGCTTAATCATTGCTAAAGGGTAAAACAAGTACAACTTAGATTTACTGCTGCTCGAATTGTATGTTTATTTATGTACCTCTCATGTGAATAAAAACGAAAATAGAAGCTGGTGATTTCATCACATTGAAGGCACTTTAAATGCGAAGAATTATTTTGCATTAGAAAAAAAAACTAGAAGTACTTAAGTTAAGGTTACGACTTCTAATGGATCTGAGATTGGCGGGATAGTAAAAATCAGTCAAGCAATTTAACTTTTCGGATATTGTATAACTGCGGCATAGGGCACTTATACTATTGGAATTTTCGCGTATTTTACACAATATTACTGATATTAATAAAGTCGTCCGAGCTTTTACGTACTTTAGCTATGGATAGCACTCTACTACTTGGAAAAGAACTACCTATCAAATGTTTTGTGATTTTCTCCCAGTTTCATCCTTACTTCATTAACACTAACATCTACCGCTGAGAGTGGTTCGTTACATTATCCCATTAGTCAAAGAGTTT